TATGCGTCGCTTGGTCCTCTAGGATGTGGAGCAGCGAGCTCTTGCACTGCCCGAGGACGGCATCCCGCCAGAAGTCATGCGTGTGTTGGATCCTGACCGACACTTTGCAGAGCTTCGGCCGGAAAAAGCTGCGGATCCCGGGAGCGCGGGCGAGGTTGAGCCGGAGGCCATTGCCCAACAGCTGGCGGACATGCGACCGCACGCGGTACTCCTTGAAATGTCGGGCGATGTTGAAGGAGATCTAAAGGCGAGATCGGACGCAGCGTGGGCGCGAGTTGCCGGGGAGTTGGCGGCGTCGAAAAACAGTTCGCGAAAGCGCCTGGAGCTGTCGGCAGGAACCGCGCCCATGAACCAATTCACGCCTCTGTATTTCGGGGTTGCGTTTTGCTGGTGTTTCCAACATTGCGTTGGCATGCCAGATGTCGTTTGGAAAGAGCATGTACAACGCGACAGGCGTCCAGCCGACGCACCCGTGGTTGATGTGCCCACCTGGTGCAAGCAAATGGCTCGTCGGGTTGAGTCGCAATTTGGCAGGGATTGGCTCTTTCTCTTTGCGGCGTGGAACCAGTGCTTCCGACAAGCTGTGAATCAGTGTCGTACGCTGTTCGCATACACGTCCGCGGGCGAAACCGCCTTCAGCAATGATGACCTCACAGAAGGGGCTGTGGCGTTGTGCGCGGCATTGCGGGGCCATTATCGACCAAGTCCTGGCGCGCCGCTTCGGGCCGTTGACGGCGACATTTCGAAAGTGGGTATGGTGGAGACTCTGACCCCACTAGCACGTCGTCTGCTTCAGAATGTTCGGCACGCTTCGTCCCACATTCCTGGGACGGTGGAGACACGCCGTCTCATGCGGCACGAGACACACGCGTACCGTATCGTTTTCGGCGAGCCGATTTTTGTAACCGTCAGCCCTGCCGAAAGAGACACGTTTCTCACGGTTCGCTTGCATCGCGTGCGAGAGAACGATCCGGTTTGCGCGCTGGATCCGCATGCACGTGCATGGGGCGGCCAGAGCAAGCCGGACTTGGGTCGCGATTTGGACGCGGCGGATGTGGCGGAGGTGGATATTCCAGGATACGAGGCCCGCCGTCACATCGCCGCGTGCGATCCGTTGGCATGCGTCGAAGCGTTTCATGTTCAGCTTCGTCTCGTGCTTCGGCACCTGTTCGGGGTGGAGATTTGCGTCGACTGCCCCAACTGTCAGTGCCGTCAGGTCGCCTTGGCGTCTTCTGCGGCAGGGTTTCGAACGGGCGCCTTCGGGCGAGTGAGTGCGGTGTACGCGTCTCTGGAACACCAGAAGAGCGCGACCCTTCACGCCCACATGCAAGTGTTTGTTGAGTGTCTTCACCAACATACACCGCTGGCTGACATTCTGGCCGGGTGTCGAGTAGATGACGGGCGAAGTCTCGTGGACAAATATTTGTCGTACAAAGCCCACGTCGTGTGCGAGACGTACTCGGATATTCTGTTGGCCGCACAGCGACGCGAAGCAGCGTGGCCAGATTATAAAGAAGAGAAGCGTCTCGTGTCGTGGCCGGCGTACCAGCGAGACGAGGACGCGACGGACGAAAGCTGGGCAGCGGCGTATCGTGCAGACGTCCAGGTGGTGCAGGAGCTGAAGCAGCACCATGTTCATCCAAAAGACGCACGGGGACGGCGGCAGCTGTTGCGCCATTGCCGTCGAAAAGGAACCACGGATGGAACGTGTCGGTCGCGCTTTCCGCGGGATGCAGAGTTGCTCGACGCGGGTGCTGTGATCTGTCCCGGGCTAGCACGGCAGATGGGACTGCAGCTGTCGGGGAAAAGGATGGCCTTGGGGGCTTTGGCAGGGCCAAGAAATTGTGCATGGCTGAACGGCACGCATCCGGTTCTGGCAGCCGCAACACGCGGGAATACTGACGTGCAGCTCCCGTGGCGCCTGCCCCCGTGTGACGCCACGCATTCGAAGGCGTGTCGTGTTTCTGGCTGCCTCAAGGACGTGGACGAAAAAGCCTTGATTGCGGCCACGCAAGCAGCACAAAATGCGCAGAGCGGTTACAGTGCAGACTATGGCAACAAGCGCCCGCTTGTGGCGCTGCATGAAATCGCGGAGTGGATGCGGGGGCAACGGCAACTTGGCAAAGACTTGGCGGGGGCAACCGCGGCGTACCAAGGTGCGCGCCATGCGAAGCGTTTCATGTCGGACGCTTACGGTCGCGGCACAGTACGCACAGGTGTAGAAGTGGCAAATCTATTGACACGCAGTCGTCCGTACGAGGTCACTGCAGCGGAGACAATCAAAACGGCACCCACGGAGGCCTTTCCGGGACAAGCCTTTGTGCGTCGGCTTGAGTCTTGCACCGGGGCAACCAGTGACGGGCGCCCGCAACGGCAGCAAATCGTGCTCGACAAACGAGACAAGCGCAGCAAAGTTTTGACCGTCAAGGATGTGGACATTTTTTACGGGTACCGCGGCTGGCATCCTGCAGTGGCATACTTGAGCCCATTTGAGTTTCATCGGTATTGGAAAGTGGACTTTGCCAGATATGCCAGCGACTTCGCAGCTTGGCTAAAGGGCCAGTACAAACAACGTATAGAGGAAAGGTTTGGACGTCGTGTTACATTGGCAGCAACCCGCAGGGGTGGGGGTCCATCGGGGAAGTTCGTGTAACAACGTTCATTCGCAAGAAACACACAGCAGTACGCAAGCAGACACGTTTTAGATCTCTGTAATTTACGCACAAAGAGATGCAGGAAAACCAATTTTAACTTCTGATTTCGGCCCTTTCGAGGTCAATGGTCAAAAGATGACGCAGCACGCACGCTTGTCAGCATCTGGGGCGTTGAAGCAAGAGAAGGGGGAAAAATTGGTGGCGGGCACAGATTACACGATTCTGGAAGAGGGCGGCGCGGATTGGTTGGCATTTCCAAAAATGGCAGAAACGGAAAGCTGGCGTCACGACTGGGTGATGCTGCGTCGCGCTCGGCCCGCGGTTCCGGTTTTCTCTGCGGCGCCACTGCCGAAGACAAGCGGAGCCGAAGTCGAACGCAGCAGTTTCTTGGCGATGGCGTACTTTCATCCCTGGACTTTGGACGAGAACGTGACACAGAACGCTGTGCCGCACGCTCGGGCTTTGGCCGGCGGAGCGCCGTGGTCGCAAGCTTTTCAAAAATGGCTCGAACGCGGACAGACCTGCATGGAGCAGCGGCGGTATCTGCAGAATTTCCTCAACGTCACGCGGATCCGCCCGGGCGATCTCGTGGAAGCAGGGTCGGAGGACGATTTCGAGACCGATTGCGATCCGGACCCCGCGTGGCAGGTGCGGCCCGAAACTTTGTCAGACGCCCTTCGAACACAGGTCCCTTGTCTGCATGTACCCCACGAGCATATTTCAGATAAACGGGAACATAAAAAATGCCGCAACAAGATGTATGCAATCAAGCACGTCAGCTCAGGTGTGCGGCGAAGCGTCCAAGACGCGTGGGGCAGCCGGGAATCGTAGCCACTACGCGAACTCGAGCTCCGCAATCCAAAGGACCCAAGAAATTTGGTGCGCGAAGGAGTCCAGCGGCCAACTTCCGCCACGCATTGCGACTTCCGAGGCCCAGGCGTTGCTCAAGCAACGTCGGCAGCCGCAAAAAGGCAGCTCTGCGAACAAAAAAGCAGACGTGCCGCCCCAGCTTCGAGCAACAACGATGGAAGCCGAACGCGTGAAAACATGGTTGCGAAACCAGGCAGGTTCGTGCGCTGCGGAGCAGCACGATTTTCTGAAGCTCGTCACTTCCCATGTGCTGACTTCGGACATGAACGGCGTAACGTCTGGCACGCAACCAAGGCCTCTCCGGTGGCTCCTGCATGGTCACCCCGGCGTCGGCAAATCGTTCGTGTTGAACAAAATGCGGGAGCTCTTCACGGAAGTGTTACACTACACCCAGGGTGCTGAATTTCAAGTTGCCGCGTTACAAGGGAGCATGGCTGCCCAGCACAACGGTGTGACGCTGCACAGCATGCTAGGTTTGGATCGGCGACGATCAAGCACAGATCGCGTTCAGCACGACAAGCGAGCACGATCCGTTCAGCATCTGAAGTGGCTCATCATCGATGAGGCAAGTATGTTGTCCGCGCATTTTTTAGCCGAATGTGAATGTGCACTGCGGCTGCTGCTTGAGCCGTTCGGGGGCATCAACATCATCATTGCAGGGGATTTCCATCAACTCGATCCCCCCGATAACGGCCTACCACTATCCACCCCGCCGTCGGTCCGCGTCGAGGACGGCAAGCTTGCCCGCGCAGCCACGTCCGAGTATGGGCTGGCGCTCATCTGGCCCAAGGGAACGAACCTCGGAATCCAAGGCGTGACGGAACTGGAGACGCCGCATCGCTGCGCGGATCCATGGTGGGTGGAAGTTCTGGAAGAGTGCCGTTTTGGCAGGCTCAGCCCAAACGATCATGCGTTTCTGCACGGACCAAACACGACAGTTCCGGGTAGCACCGTTCGAGGCAAGCCTACATGCGGGAACTCCGCCTGCGCGCAGTTGGCAGGGTCGGAATGTGTGGCGTCTGAGTGCAGCAAATGCCAAGAAGAACGCGCCCGCAGGAAACGCGTCGTCGACCATCCGGCTCAGTGCGATCAGGGCAAATTCATCAACGCGCCCATGATCTGTGCCAACAATGATGTCCGGTATGAAGTAAACAAACGCCGAGCAATGTCGCACGCGGCGCACACCGGACAACGTCTCCTTTGGATCCAAGCCCGCGACAAACCCAATGCTCGTGTCGCGGCTGGCTCTGATGACATCGGCAAACAGAAGCTCCTGTGGCTGACCTTACATGACCGCAAGACCGCTGAGCTTCCGGGGATGCTGCCGCTTGTGCAAAACATGCCGGTCCGACTCACGGAAAAAATCGACGAGAAGCGGCAGCTCCTCCGGGGTAGCGTCGGTCGCTTGGTTGGGTGGGCAGCCCACGCAGATGATGAATCGGATACGTTTCCAGACGCGGGCGTGTTGACAGCACTTCCCCTCGTGCTGCTGGTCCAGTTCCCGCATGCTTCCTGGAAGCTGCCAGGAACCCAGGCCAGAGGCGTGTATCCGATCAAAGCAGTCAGCAAAACGTGGCATCTTGACGGTTCGAAGCCGCGGCCACAGCTGGCCATTTCTCGTCGGCAGTTTCCCCTCGTCCCATGTTACGCCCTGACGGCACATGCGTCGCAGGGCATGACATTGGACGCAGCCATCGTGGATCTGCAGGTCGGAAACGAAATGTCTCCGGTTGCATCCTACGTGGCGCTCTCCCGCGTCCGCCATCCGGAGGACCTGCTGATATTTCGGCCCTTTGAGGCGTCAACCTTCACGCAAGGAGCGCCGCGTGGGCCGACTACGTTGATCGCATGGTTGCAGGGGAAAATCGACGACATTCCAGCCAACGATGCGGTCACCACCTTCAAGTGTGCCGTGTGCGGTCGGCGGCGACGTGAGGAGCCGACGTGCACGGAAAAGGGGCAAAACGTGTGCGCCGCGTGTCAGCGAAGCAGGCGGACATGCGCTGCATGTGGAATCTGGACACGCTGGCAGCAAAACAAGTTGGCACCGCAGGGACACGTTCTTTGTCCAAAATGCAAGGCAAGCAAAGTCCAGTGTCGCGGCTGCGCGAAGTGGGTATCGTATGCACACATACACACCCATGGCGGCGGCTCAAAACAAAAACGATATTGCGTGGAATGCGCAGCATTGCGTCAAACCAACGACGCACAAGCAAGGCGTTGCATGGGCGCATTCGCGAAGCGCGTGGCGCGCAAGCGGCGAGGCAGTGCCGAAAACAGGCCGCGCTTTGCGAAGGCAAAACATGGGGCGCGCATCAGGTGCAGTATGTGCGGAAAGCGGAAGACAATTGGTGCTTTTTCCCAAACGCAGCTGAGAAAAAAGGTCGCCTAGGCACGTCGTTGTCGACGATGCAACAAGCAAGCCGCGAAAAAAAAGCCACAGTACACATGCCGATCCTGTGGTAGGCTGAAACCGGCATCTGCGTTCAGTCGCAAGCAGTCCCGGCGAAGGGCATCCCAAAGGTCCGCCGACCTTGGGGGGCGTGTTGGATGGAAAAACCCTCTTCCTTTCTCCCTTACAGCCCCAAAACGCGGGGGGGGGGGTAGGGGGGGTATCCCGGCTTCGTTTCCCTCCAGGTCCCCACCTCCGAAGCAGCCGTTT